GAGATATGTGTTTTAACTAGTTGAAATATGTTAAGTTAAATAGATTTACGTTTTTTTTAACTCATTCGTCTACTTAGGAGTGGAGCTATAAATTTTCACAAGGATTAAAATTTTAGTAGATAGAATTTTAAAATTTTAAAGTTAGATATAAACAATTTTTATTTTTCAAATTAACCCAAAGCAAAGGAAAGACAATTGCGTTGCATTAGCCAATAATTTCTATAGGGTGTTTCTAAATTATAAAATGTCAATGTCGATGGAAATGTCAAAATATCAGTTTTATAGAAATATCAATAAAACGTTGATGTCAATGGACATTTTCTAAAAATTATATAAAAAAAATTCATTACAAATATTAAAATTAACAAATAAACATTTCATCATTTTTAAATAAATTAAAATTATCAATATCAAATATTATATCCACATTAATGATATTTTGATATTGTTTTCTATATTTTATCTATTTTTGTGAAAATATAAAAATGTCGATGTCGAATCTATATATATACGAAATGTAATGTAAGGTGTCGAGAGAAATTTAATAGGTTTGTTGGGATTTCAAGGGATTAATAAATGTCAATGTAGGAAGTTTTATTTTCTCTGCCTCATGTTTCTAAGTACATTTGTTCCCTGTACTATTCCAGTTCATTTTCTCTTCACTTTTTTCACAAAACTTTTTTCTTTTCTTTTTCCTCATTTATTTTCTCCTTGAAAAGTAATTGCTCCAAAGTTTGAAATTTTACCACGTATTAAAATTTTGTCGATAGATTGATATTTTTATTGACATCAAAATATGGGGTGAATCAACATTTTTCTAGTATTGTAAGAAAAAATTGATAAAATATAAACACAATATTAGTAATATAGACATAATATTAATATTAATATATCGTAACTCATTTAAAAATAGTGAAAAGGTTATTTATTATTTTAAATATTTGTTATCAATCTTTTATTTCTATGATTAAAATATATATATATATTCATCAACATCGATATTTCCATAAAATTGAGACTCCCACGATTCTATCGATATCGTCATCGACATTTAAAACCTTAGATCTAGGTCATGAAAAATCCAAATGAAAAATTGTTGTACATAAACTACTTGGTGTAGCTTTCATTTTTTTCTCTTAAAAAAATTTAAAAAAAAAGTTCATTTTATGAAATCATGTATTTTAGATCTTAATTAAAAATAAATAGGTTAAAATACTATTTTCGTCCTCTACTTTTTGCTTTAGTTCATTTTAGTCCATGTACTTTTAAAATATTCGTTTTGATTGCTGTATTTCAATTTTGGTTTAGTTTGGTTCCTGTATTTTGAAAATGTTCATTTTGGTCACTGTAATTTTAAAATTTGACCATTTTGGTCCCTTATTTTTATTCTTGATCTCATTTTTTTATCATAATTTTAACATGATGCTACCATCAATATATTTCTTATTGGCCACTAGAGCTAACCTATCATGATGTGATTTTCTATTTTTATTTTTGTCCATTTTTTCACAATAATTCCTAAATTTCAAAAAAGAAAAATTGGCTCCTTAAAATTTAAAATCTCAGTTTTAGTTTTAAAACTTCGGCTGAAATGCTAATAATAATGTATATGATATGTTTTTTAGTAATAAAACTGAAACTTGAAAATTCAAAGCATCAAAATGAAAAGTAGAGTTAAATTTAAGGACCAAAATCAAAGTTTTAGAAATAAATTGGGACAAGTACGAACTTGATAAAAATTCAAAGACCAAAATCCCATTTAGGCCAAACCATCTTATTATTTAGATTTAGGTTAAATTACAAAAGAAAATACTTAGTTTTTTATACATCTTATCCAAATCGTCCTTAAAAAATGTTTGACAATTAAGAGATAAATTGTAAAAATAAAATATTTTTTAAGAAATAATGACCGTCAATTTCTTAAATGGTGGCTAAGATAGCTGTAGATCTTGACACGTAAGGAGATAAATATTTTCCAATTTCAAATTTAATTGGTTGTATTTCTTTAGTAATTGAACTTAATTTTTTCTTAAAATAATGTCTTTGAATTTTGGATTATTTTGGTTCTAATCATTTTTGCCATCTCTTGCATAAACATGATATACTAATAAAACTAAAAAGCATTGATTTTGTATAATGTGGCACCCACCATGAATGGAGTGAACAAATTATAAACCAAAAATTTCCAACTCCTTTTATTAAATCTAGTCGGCCTAGTTTCCAAGGGAAAAAAAAACAAAAACAAAAATCTAGTTAGCCTGGTTCGATCAGTAAATCATGCTAACACTCTTAGTAGCAATGTTAACCACGTGATCTAAATCACGATGAAATTCAAAAAAAAAATTTGAAACTAATTTTTATCCTTAGATTTAATGTTTTATGTAATAAAGGGTACTTTTCCTAAAATAAATATTATTTTTTGATTCTTATACTTTTAACTTAGATCTTTTTTTGACCATAATTTTAACCGGATAAATCGATATTAAAAGATTTTTATTGTGTTAAAATTTTATCGAACTTAAAAAGATCAAACCCAACCAAAACCAGGCTATAATGACTATTTAGCATTAACCCAAATCCAATGAGACAGTGGCCTTAAAAGTTGGCTTTTGCACATGGCCTTTCCTCTTTTTCTCTCCCTCACAAAACCTGTCACCATCACCCCAACCATTGGCACAGTCTGATGTCCATCTCACTTGGATATTATGAACAAACCCATCACAAACTCCCCACGCAATCTCTGCATTTTCTTCAGTTTCTGCAGAGTTTTTTCCCACCCACAGTAATTCCATATTTGAAACCAATTCCATTTGATTTCAAAATGAAACACAGATTCAGCAAATATAACTCAATTTCATCATATCATGATTCAGGAAACAATATGTATGTATATAGTAAAAGAGAATGATTACCTTCCGGCCGGAGAAATCTTGATTCGAGAAATTGAAACCCTACGGTTGTTGTGTTGTGTTTGTACTTGTACTTGTACCTGAGATTTCAAATTTCCTGCGTTTTGTTGCTCAAAACCTACAAAACTTGCCTAAATCAGAGACGAGACGAGACGATCGTCGACGAATTTTAGATGTGCGTAACTGAATCGAGCGCAGAGAACATGTCAAGATGGACTTGTATTAATGTATTATGAATATTTAAAGAAAGAAAGAAAAAGAAAGAGATTCTAAACTTCTTCGCTATTCAAATTTCCTCCGATTTCTCTCCAATCAAAACACGGCATGCAACTGAAAAATTTCCAGAAAATCATCCACCGTCTCCTTCTCTCGATTTCGTTTTCCTTCCTTCAAGAAGTAAACTACGATACGGCATTTTCTCTCTCAGTACCGGATCCGTAAAACTCGATCAACCTCTGCAAAACGAACACCTGATTCTTCAACAGAACGATGTAATCCGCCGTCTCCTGAAACAACTCCTCCGCTTTCCGATTTCCTCCGTCGTCGTTCCGGCTCGGAATGAGGCTCTCGAGCGCCTCCAGCTTCGCCGATACGTCGGAGGAGCACGCTTTTCCGCCATTTTTGTGGATTCTTCGAGCTCTGAGAATTCGAGAAACGTACCTCGATCGCGACGGCGCTCTTCTCGTCGCCGATTGCTTCCAAGATATCCTGTGTTTCTTTACAACCGAGCTCATTCTCTGCGCCAGATTTTAGAGAGAGAAAGAAGAGAGAGAGAGAGATGGATGAAGAACACGAAGAGGAAGTTAGTGGACTGTTCGTTCTACGGCTGAATGGAACGAGAGGACTCAGAGTTTAATAACGACGGAATAATCCATTGCCCCTTCTATTGCTTTTTATTACGAAAATGCCCTTCCTGGAATTTCCTTTGTCGTTTTGCGATCTTTTTTTTTTCTTATTTTAGAAAATGTGTTATTTCTGATAATTCTGTGGCCCTTTTTGGAGATTATTTAATTGACGAAAGTCGTTTTAAAGTCTGTTTGAATGGAATATTTGGAAGATGTCTTTTTTTTTTTCTTTTCATCTTTACTTTGGGTCAAATCTTAAAATATTTAACAGAAAAATTATTAAATTTCCGTAATGAATTAAAAAAAAAGTCTAATTTCTATATTTACTAATTTTAAGAATATGCAATAACAAATTTTGTAACATGGTTTTGCACTTTTGTTTTCAAATTTGTTCTTAAGAAATATGATTTGACTTGTAGATGAATGTTATTGGGTAATTAAATTATTAATTTTAAGTGAGTACAAAGATTTTGCTCCAAAGAAAAAAGTGAGTTCAAATATTAATATTATTATGCACTTAAAATTAGAAATTAAAACTCAACGAATATATATTATAGGAGAGATAGTTTACCTTATTTGGAAAAGGTGAAAAAAAACCCTTAAACTTTTTTCAAAGAGATCTTATCACAAAACTTGTATTTATTTATTTGCTTTCGTAACCTAAACTTTAATTCTTTTTTTTTTAAAAAAAAAAACCCCCCATAAAACTGCGGTTAAAATGGCTCTCAAGTATATTTCATTTTCTTTAAAAACATTGAAAATAGATAACACTTGATAAAAATTTAAAGTGTATTCTTAAAATGAAAATTTACAAAGAAAAAAGAAAAAAAATTATAATAGACAATTTATTTTCACCAATGTAGTTTTACACGTATGGAATGAATGAAAAAATTAGTACTCTCATTATTATTAAAGAACAGTGAATAAAATTAGATTTTTTTTTTAAATAATGCATTATGGATTTAGAATTTGAGTTCAAAACATGTATTTACTTAGGTTTAAATATCATCGCGTCTCAATTTTGATTTCTTTTTAGTAGTATATTTTATTATTTATTTATTTTTAATTAAACCTTAGGAAAGGGAGCATTTTTTTTAGTATTACTAAGAAAGTAATAATTTTATAATGTATTGAAATATAAAGTTGAATTGGATGAAATGATGCAAAAAAGTAAAGGGATTGTGAGGGGTCTTTCTCCTAGAATTCTAAAATATGGTAAGCTCTCTTTAATTTGCTAATAATAATAGAAATAAATTCCTTTCATGAACTGACAAATTATTGAATGATAGGTGTCCTTTAAGTGTACTTTTCTAAAATTATTTTTCTTATAAAATTTATTTGTAGACTAATTTTTATTTTTATTTTTTGTTTTTCTTAAATGTTTTAATCATTTGAAAATATATTTCTGTTTTTATGTTTTCATTTACTTTCTCTACGTGTTAACTTTAAATTAATTGCGACTTGACTAAACCAAGCATAGCTGGAGTGGTTAAGACACCTGACTAAAAAATCATGAGTCCGAACTCCATGCCAACTAAAAAAAAAATCAATTCCAACTTAGAAAAAAACTTTAAATTATTATTATATGTACGAAAAAAAACTCAAGATTTTATTCGAGTAATTAACTAAAAAACGGATAATTATGTCTGTTTTATACTAGATTTTCTTGAAAATTATTCTATAAAAGAAAATGTATCCAACAATTTGTTGTGGGGCCCGCACCATCGAAAAAAGTCGAATTCAAATACTGTCAGGGTGTCGATCTCCGATTTTTTACTGCATGTCTCAATTAGTTCGCCATCTTCATAGCACCCGACGATTTCGAGAAGGAAGGTTAGTAAATGCTAACATAATCTCGACAGCATTCCGCGATCCAGAGAGGAAATGATGAACGGCTAATGACTTTCCCCAATCATGATCGCCTATCAATCTAAATGGTAAGACATATCCAGAAGTATGTGTGAATCTCCGTCGAGAAACCTAATACACTAAAATTCAACCTAAAATGATTAAAATATTGGAGTGTTCACCCTTTGTCTAGTAGGTTTCACCAATTAAAAAGGGATTCATTTGATCGTTTGGGCCAATATTTTTTGCTCAAATGTCATTTTTATTTTTTATTTTATTATTATTATTATTATTTATATATATAAAAAAATGATTATCATTGATTCATTATTTGGTGGAAAAGAAAAATAAATAAATAAAGAAGAGCGGGAACAGGGTACAACTTGCGAGCGTCAAAGCCAAAGCCTGCTCCTCTGTAACGCCACATGCTAAGGCATGAAACCGGGACCTTTTTAATTCCATATTTCCCAAAATACCCCCACTATTATATTTTTAAAAACAATATTTTTCTTTTTTCTTTAAATGCACGAATAAATCCTCATTTAATGCTTCATAAATCCATTTTGAAACCTTTTTCTTTTTTATAATTTATTTAAATTTTTTGAAAATTTTGCAAAAACTATCCTGAACTATAGAATATTACAAATTACACAAACTATAAGAACTATTATAATGGAACCCTTGATGTAAAAGATTGCAGTTTAACCCAATTTTTTCAGTTCTTTAAAAAAATTAAAATTTATAATATTAAAATTATATCAACGTTTAAAAAAACCCTTTAAAAATTTTTCTTAAATTCAATGACCACAATGTTAAATTAGGACATAGTAGAGATATATCTTTGAGGTTAGACGTAAAAGGGTTGATTTGGTGTCAGTTTTTAATCATTTATAATATACATATTAATATATATGCTAAAAAAATAGAAATGAAGCCTCCCTCTCGTAATAATTTTATGTTTTAAAAAACGTAGGTTTGCTTTCTTACCATTTTCTTGAAAACACATTTGAATTATCAGCTAAATTTTAAAAATAGATTTTTAAAAATTACTTTTTTTAAATTAAAAAAATACATAAACAGAGTAACTATAAGTTTAATTTTCAAAGACAGAAAATCAAAGCAATTCAGAGCTACTCATTCAAATTTTCTTACTAATTAATATGATTCGATAGGTCGACTTTTTCGACATTCTTTATTAGTCGAAAGGGTAAAATAGTAATCGAGAAAAAGAGAGAAGGAAAATGGTGGAAGAAAAGAAAGGGTATTTGATTAGGGGGGTGTGGCTCCCCTGAAGGGTGCATGTGGAGGTGCCATGGGCCAGCACACCATTGCCAAATGGCTAAGGCTAGAGCGAGAAAGAGCGAGGAGAGAAAAAAAAAAAGAGCACATGGGAAGGCACATGGCAATGGGGAGAGAGAAAATAAAAGGGAGGAGTGTTTGGATGTTAGCTTTTATGAGAGTAGAGAGAGAAAAATGAAGGGCTTTTGCGACAATAACAAATGTGATCGGGATAGTACCAGATTTGTCGCGTGATAAAATATTTGTCTAAATACTATATTTTATTTTTTTATATTTCTAGTTTTGATTTATTTTGATCCATGTATTCTCAATTCTAAATATTTCTAATATACTTTTTCTATCTAAAAAAATTTTAACGTAAATTCTATACCTAATGAAACCTTTAAAATATAAAATTATATCCATGTTTCAAGAAATTCTTGGAGGGTTGAAATTGTGATCCAAAAAATGAGATAAAAAATAAAAAACAAAAGCGGTCACTTTTTAAATCTACTGAGATCAAAATGAACGGTTTGAAGAAAAGTACAAGGACTAGTAGTATTTAAACCTAAAATATTTTTAAAAAATGATACAAATGTAAGCACTCGTAGTGTCAACTCATTAGATAAGATACTTATTACTATCATCTAAAGTCGATGGCTTTATTTTCCATCCCATAATTATTGAATTTATAAAAACTAATATTTCGGTGCCAATCCGAGCTCAACTCGTCAAATAAGATACTTATTATTATCGTCTAAAGTTGATGATTTGTTTTCCATCCTCATAATTATTAAACTCAAAAAGAAAAAAAAAATCATATATTAGTAATATACTTGATCTGAGTATAAAAAATGGTATATTAGTAAATATGGGACCAAATAACAAATTTGTAAATATGAGAACTAATTTTGCCACCCGTTATAGATTTTGGGGTTTAATTTAATAGAGAAGGCAAGGAAAAGGCATGCATGTGACAATGACAAAGGAAGAGACATTAAAGCAGCATCAAATGTACACCATGTTCTGCACATTCCCTGCATCCAAACTCCTCTTTTTCCCTTTTTCCCATTCTTTTTTCTTTTTCTTTTTCCTTTTTATTTATTTATTTATTTGTTTGTTTGTTTGTTATTATAATAATAATTATTTTTTTTAAATTATTTGATTTCACCATGTGACACATGTGTAAACTCCCCTGAGACCTGCCTTTGGTCTCATTCGTTCAATTTATATCATAATAACCTAATCTTTTTACACTCCTAGAAATTTGAATAATTTGAATTCTCCACTCCTCTTCCATTGCAATATAATATTTTAAGTTGTTTTGAGTTGTTTTCGTCTCCGTATCTATCCATTCTTTTAAATCTCAACAGTTATAATTTTTTTAACTAAATTATCGTTTGAAAATTTCTTTCAAACTAAGTATTTG